GCAAGATGGCCGGTGATTTTCAACGGTAGGAAAGTTTCCCGGGGGTTTGTTAGCCGTCCGATCCCAAAGAGAGGACAGGTTAAGGTGGCTATAGTTGTGGGGTTGGCTCACTCTTTTGCTTCTTTCTTCTCTCACAGTGCTCCTCGTCGAGCTTCTTCTCGTATTTAGCTCAACAGCCCAAAAACTTGTCTCATGGATGGGTTCTAAGTGGGAGATGTATAAGGAAAGTCTGTACTTAATAGCTTTTTCAGCCAAATTTTGTACGATACTATAGCTTAATTGAAAAATCAATGCTTCAATTATATGCAATAATCCCGTCCTTCTTATGCCCCTTCACCAATCCACAGCATTGTTTTAAGGTGGAAAACTTGTGGGCTGAGTTTACTAGAAGAACAAGGAGTGATTCTTCTTCCATATCGTTTTATCTGATTTTGATTTCCATCCTCAAGCCCACATCCAATTCAAGTCTAAAATGATCAAGCTTCCGGCATCATCTTGGGTTCCTGACTGATGCCAATTGGTTTGGAAATAATAAATCATATCACAGATTGATCAATTTTAATACATAGTAAAGGTGAATTTGTTTCTGCTTCTGTTATCTAATCTGTATTTTCCATGTTAGTTAGCAATACGAACCTTGAATTGATCCTCTATCCAAAATCTATAGAATGAGAGGTTTTATGAAGGAATATAATATAATATGCAGAGCCTCCAGCTCAACAAAATTTCAGAATCACACCGGTATTTCTCTGGAATGGCAACGTTGAGTCGAGTCATGGAAACCTATCCTATCCTGGAGGTGTCTCTGCCAAAAACCAGGGTGGTTGCCCAGTTCACAGCCACATAAAACCGGTTCCTCCAGCTGACCACACGCGTAAGGTAAGCAGAGCGCCAAATCAACCAGCTAACAAACCCAGCAAGAGATACGCCTTTTGCATCCTGCCAAAGATAAACCGAAGATTTCATCAGTTGATGACAGCGTAAAATTTACTAGAAGAGGACTGCTGAGCACAGTCAAGCTTATCGCAGTTGTGCAATCTGGGTTTTGCATGTAGGACAAGCACAACGCTAGGGGCCACATAAATGCTCCAAATTTTACAGGCACGACAGTGCTTAGGGAATGTACCTTAGATTGGCGTAAATCAACTAGTGCCTTGTAACGGCCCACCGATGCCATGCTTCCCAAATGTTTGTAGACAAAAGGATCACCAAGAGGGATGTCTGTTGCACTGAAAGCCTTGCCTCCATCCTTCTTTCCAATCTTGTTAAGCAACTTCACAAGAAATTTCCCCTGCCTTTCTGCAACCTGCAAAAAAAATTGTAAATTTTGTTAGCTGACAGGCAATTGATCATTCTGCAAGCTGCTTGAGCAGCTTAATTATGAAGAACTACATAAAAAATGAACTGTTTTCCCTTAATGGACCGTTCCACAATCACCCAAAGTATAGAGATCCGAAGACAATACTCTGATACAACAATCTTAGAAAGCTGAACTACTGTGACTAAAGAGAGAGGTACAAGAGACGCAAGCTAGTTAGAGGGTCTGACCTGAGCTAAAGCTGGAAGCACTGGTCTCCCTGAATTTTCAAGAAAACCAGCACAGTCTCCAAGTGCAAACACATCTTCTACAGACGGGACTCGCAACCATTCATCAATACCAATCCTGTGTCAATAAGAGTAGTTAACGAATCCACCCAGAGATAGGAATGGGGAACAAAATTGCTAGAAAGTAGAAAAGTATCAAATAAATATCCTGTTGTCAATACCTTCCACCAGGGGCCTTGGGAAGGTCTAGTGACTTCACAAACTGAGAGGGACCAACACCAGTAGACCAGACCAAAAGGCCATATGGAACATTAGTCTCATCACTGAGAATTATCTTCTTGGAGTGCACCTCTTTCACCACGCCTCGCATAAGACTGACACCAGACTGATAGAACACTTCAGAATGTCACAGGCAGTTCATAAAAGAAGTTGTTCCAGCACAGTAGAGATTCCATTGCAAGCTAAAATACCTTGGTCAAATGATTTGTTGCATATTGCCGGAGCCCAACATCAAAGGATGACAGAATCTCACTTGCCTGTTCAAGAAGGGAGAAAAATTAAACCAAAACATCAGGAAATTGCATCAAAATTCATTTTCTTTATGCATAATTATTTGAAAAGAAGGAAATAATTCATGTATATTACCTCTATTAGGGTCACTTTAACATAGTCCTTAACATGCGTGTACCGGTCCTGAACATCTCTCTTGATAAAATCACTCAGTTCACCACTAAATTCTACACCAGTAGGACCACCTCCAATAACAACACAATGTAGAAGGCGTTCCTTTTCTTCTTCGGATATACCTGCAATAACATTATTAGAACAAGTTTTGCATTTAAAAAAAAAAAAATTGGTTCCCTAGAATTGTTCTCGGATCAATTTAAGAGAGACTATCTAAAAATATTGGACAAAAATGAACAGCTTTGACCATTTCTTGTTCTTCATCTTTAAGAATTCTGAACAAAGGCTGCGCAGAGTTTGTAATAGAGAAGGAACGTTATAATTGAATCGTAAAACTCACCTGGATTTTCAGAAAGCATAAGATTCAAGAGAAGCTTTTTCCTTATTTCTTGAGCGTGATTCACTTCTCTTAGGAAAAATGCATGTTCCTTTACCCCATTGATACCAAAAGTCAGAGGCTCAGCTCCAGCAGCAATGACTAGCTTGTCATACGCAACTTTAAACTGGTAAGGATCACGGGGTAATCCACCATTGCTAAATGTCTCACAGTACACCTAATCACATGAAATGAGCAAATAATTTTACTTACTACGGCGCGGAATGCAACTTACATTGACAATTGCATAGCCAATTATATACTGTTATGATTTCCATATAAAGGAAAATACAAGACTCACTTCATGCATGTCTGTGTCAATGCCAAAACAGGAAGCCATATAAAAATATGAGTTGGGACTTGTTGCTAATGCAGATTGTATCCGGTTAACAGGTTCAGCTACGGAGCGAAACTCAAGTGTTCCAACACAAGTTGAAGCAAGCAAAGGGGTGAACACCATGTGATTCCTTGGAGAAATGCAAACAACATCATAAATTCTGGTGTCAAGTCCTTTCATGAATCGGCAAGCAGCCCATCCAGTACCAAGGACAACTACCCTTGGCTTGTCACCTGGCTTGGTTGCTTCCAATCCTGGATACATTGGTTCATCATATTCCGATTCAGACTCCTCCACGATCCTCTCTGCAGTTGCCGATTGGTATTGTGGAGTGACCCTGATTCCCCTGCTCTGCATACTCATGCGATTAAACTTCCTAATGCTGGAAATGTATGAAAAGTCTCTGCCAGCTTTAGCATTTTGAAGGGAAGGCAAGGGACTTCTACGATTGGTACTGCCCTCACATAAGAACACATCCCCTTCACATGAGTAACTGCCAAAGGTGCCTCCTGTTCTTCTCAAGCCAGTTCTAGCAATCCTTGCAAATGCCATATCAAGAGAGAGTATCAGTCTAGAAACAAGACCTGATACCTTTCAACCCCTCAATTCAGGATCAAATATAGAAACTTTTACTTATTGAACCTGCACCTAAATTAAGAGAAATGAGCAACGCAAACAGCGCATATACATTCTTAAAACAAGAATTAATATATACTTGTATAGAGGAAGCCCATTTCTTCAAACACTCCAAATTTTGTGAAAGCTAAAAACAACAAGTACAACAAGTCACAAACACTCCAAATTTTGTGAAAGCTAAACACAACAGGTACAACAAGTCGAGTTATGGTCCTAAAAGGCCTCTAGCAGTTCGGTCACCTTTGATAACGATCCTTTCCATGACTAGTTGACAAGAAAACAAAAGCCAAACTTAGATTTCCTCATCATGATATGGCATTGCTAAATGCAAATTAACAGCACAATAACCTGTCAATGCTTCACCTAAAACTAAAATAAATCACATTCTTATTTGGTAACTAGTTTTAGCTGCCAAATTAACACACACGGCCGGTAATTAGTTCCCCCTTAAAAAATGACAACTATCTAATAAGCCTAATTAATGATTTCATTTAGGCAACTTAATAGAATTCCGAACTTTTAAGGTTCTATTTGATGCCGACCAAGAAGCAATTTCCTTACATTTTGGAAGTTCCAAAAGCAGGAAATGCAGTACCGGCCGAAAGAATGTGCCATGGCGGGTGTATTGCAGAACTAGCGATTCAGATTTATAAATCCCCCATCCACGATCGCAACTTTTTCTGTAGTTTGTCATTTAGAGGCTGGTGTGAGAGACAGATAAGTTTTGTGGGGGGTGGGGGTGGTGTTTGGTGGTGTGGTGGTGGGGTGCATGGTGAATTGAAAGCTCTTTGTTCTTGTTGTAGATTGCCGAACTACATCTTCTTTTTTATTTGTAATATTCATTATTGATAGTAGTAGGTTTCACGATATTTTGTTCTCAAAAGATGATATCTCGCACCTTGTTTCTTAATTTTTTTTAAATAAATATATATTTTTTTATATTTTTAAATTATTTTGATATATTAATATTAAAAATATTTTCACATGATTTTGGTGTATTAATATTAAAAAAAAATTAATAAATTTTTAAATAAAAAATATTTTAAACCACCCCTCTTATCATCATTTTAAATACATCCTTGATAAGAACATCTAAGACAATTTATATCTGATAATATATATAAAATCAGTCATCATCTATCTATCTATCTATCTATATATATATATATATATATATATATATATAAAATAATTCATTATTTATTTTGAACAATTGGTTTTTATATTAATTTGATGAGATGAACCAAACTCTTAATAAAATGTTTTGAGATTAAAATACTAATACATTTATGCATGTGATAAAATATATTTTAAGATTACAAAATATTTAAAAGAACCTTTCTTAAAAAAATTACATCGATTTAATTTTTAAGTATGTTTGGAAGTGTGGTAGTGATTGTTTTTCATTATATAACACATTAATTTTTTTATTTTTTAAAAATTATTTTTAACATCATCATATTAAAATAATATAAAAATATAAAAATTTAAATTTAAAAACTTTTAAATATTTTTAAAAATACTTCCAACAATACCAAACACACCCTTTATCTTCGTCATGAGATGAAAACCAGAACCAGATTTTAAAAACTAATCTACATTAATTTATTAATTTATCAAGCAGCCATTTAAAAGTGAAATATTTTTAATGATCACGAACTTAAAACACAAGCATTAAACAAGCAATTAAGATCAAATACTTGATTTACAAACATATTGAAACCTCACTGTAATCCAATAAAGAATTTCAAAACTCTAAAAGACAACAGATCTTGTTGAGAAAGGAAACAAAGTTAGCCACAAGAACTAAAACCATATACTAACACCTGCCAAACACAAGCAAATTGACAGATAACATACGCCACGATCAGTTGTTACCATAACCATGCTCAAGCTCGACGAACAAGAATAGAAACATCAGTAGAGCATGTGGCCACAACAGCAACATCAAACATATAAGAAAAAAGAAGAGAAAGAAAATACATAACCTGAGTTCTTGCTTGTGCCCAAGATTTACGGTGTTGTTATTATGACAAAAGTTACTGTCTTTATAATGAAACCCTAAAACAACAACAACAAATCTCAAGTGTTTTATGTCTTGCTGTGTGTAAGAGAGAGAGAGAGAACGTGTGTTGTGGGGAGAGAGGGCAGCCAACTTGCGGTGCAAGAAAAATTTGCGAGTAGTCATTAAAATAGTGAAGAAACGGAGTTCGAGGAGGCAATCAAAGCAAAAGCACGTTGCCGTATATTCATATTTTGTACACTATATTTGTTGGCAATGAGCAGAGAAAAGAAAATGGAGATTGTAAACCAGCAGGCAATCAAACATTTTTTGTTCCTAGAGTTTCTAGGCATTTTCTACGACGTCGGATATGAGTTTATTCCCGTTTTAGTTGATGATATCAAAGCTATACAAGTTAGCATTAATATTTAATTAAAGAACAAATAAATTGTAAAAGTATTATTCTCTTAAGCAAATATTTTACCGTTAAAAAAGTTCTTTTAAAATATAAATTAATCATTATAGAATATATCCAATCACTAAAATCAAGTGTTCAAATATATAAAAGATTTTTATGAAAAAAAAAACTACGGTAATGCATGGGTAAATAGGCTAGTAATAGTATTAAAAAAATTATCAATGAGATATATTAATTATCTTCCTTTTCTCTTTATTTTATATGCTCATAATCTTGCTAAAATTGATATTTTAACAAATATAAAATATTATTTTAATTATATTAATTAAGGATCTATTTAATAATTTAACAAATATAAAATATTATTTTTAAAAAATAAATAGTGCGTACCTTAGGGGCCACCCGCCCTCTTCAAACAACATGTGTACCCTCCTCCTACAACCAAAAATATCCAGCCAAATTCAAAGGATTGATGGGCGGCACATCTAATGTGGTGGCGCATGTTGTTTTATGAAAGATGAAAAAAAAAAAATGATGGTTTGGCGGCGACTAATGTTTTTTCTTCTTCCTCCTTTTTTTAGGATTCGCGCTAGTCCAACCAAAATAAAAATTTATCCTTCCATTTGTTTTTATTTCAATTATAGTTATTCTTTTAATTTTTTAATTTTAAATTTTTTTAATAATTTTAATTTTATTATTTATCAATTGATTTTATTTGATTTTATATTAAATATGGTTTTTATTCTTTTAATTTGATATATATCATTTTGTTAATTAAACTTATTTTTCAACTTCATCTCACATCATTTTAATTCTTTTTATTTTTATGTTAGATTTTTTTTTTCATTGGATCCTTTTTAATTTTTAATTTTGATTTATTAATATTTAATTAGTTGAAAATTGAGTTTCGTAATTTTTTTTGAGGTGGTAATTGTAAGGACTATGGACACCACTTATCTTCATATTAGTATGATATTGTCCACTTTGAGCCTAAGCCCTCATGGATTTGCTTTTGGACTATATCCAAAATGTCTCATACCAATGGAGATATTTGTTCATCCTTATATACCCATGATCCTCCCCATTTCCAGTCAATGTGAGACTTTTGTTGCATACCCAACAATCCTCCCCTTGAACAAAGGACCACTGAGTCTCCCCTCAAACGATCATTCATCCGTCCACTCTCTACCAACTAGGATTCTTCATTCTCTACTTCATCGTGTTGGGGTCAACACACGTTCATGAAGCATCTGGAGAGCACTACCTGACTTGAGAGTTTGCTCTTTCTAGGTCAACTCCTTTTCACTGTGTGTGGGTCAAGACACGTCCATGAAGCATTTGGAGCACATCACCTATCCAATAGAGTTGATCCATGATCGTGATCTAATTAGGGCCCACCACCTTTTGTTCGGCATTCCTGAGGATTCATCCACCATGGCTAATTCTGGGGCATGGCTCTGATACCATTTATAAGGACTATGAACACCACCTATCTTCACATTGGTATGATGTTGTCCACTTTGGACCTAAACCCTCATGGATTTGCTCTTGGGTTATACCCAAAAGGCCTCATACTAATGAAGATATTTATCCATCCTTATATACCCATGATTTATTGTTGGGTATGCGACCAAAGTCCCACATTGGCTAGAAATGAGGAGGATCATGGGTATATAAGGATGAACAAATATCTTTATTGGTATGAGACCTTTTGGGTATAGTTCAAGAGCAAATCCATGAAAGCTTAGATCCAAAGTGGACAATATCATACCAATATAGAGATAGGTGGTATCTATAGTCCTTACAAGTAGTATCAGAGTCATGTCCCAGAATTAGCCATGGTGGATGAATCCTTGGAATGCCGAATGAAGGTGGTGGGCCCTAATTAGATCACGATGTAATCCATAGATCAGCACTATTGGATAAGCGGTGTACTCCCTTCATGGACATGTCCTGACCCTAACACAGTGAAGATGAGTTGACCTAGAAAGAGCAAACTCTCAAGTCAGGTAGTGCTCTCTAGATGTTTCATGGACGTGTCTTGACCCTAACATGATGAAGTAGAGAATGAAAAAATCTGGTTGATAGAGAGTGGATGGATAAATAATCGTTTGAGGGGAGGATTGTTGGCTATACGACCAAAAGTCCCACATTGGCTAAAAGTGGGGAGGATCATGGATATATAAGGATAGACAAATATCTCCATTGATATGAGGCCTTTTAGGTATAACCTAAAAGCAAATCCATGAGGGTTTAGGCCCAAAGTAGACAATATCATACCAATGTGGAGATAGGTGGGTGGTGTTCATAGTCCTTACAGTAATTTCAGTCTCATAACTCAAATTACAAATATAAAATGTTAACCTGAATTGATGTTGGTCTTTTTTTTCTTTTTATATTGATTTTGCTTTTCAATTTTATTTTTCAATAATGAGTTTATTAAATATTAATCTTTTTTATTTTTTTATTTGCTTTATATGAAAATAATTTAGCTCCATGACTTGAGTTGTGACTTGGATTGGCTTGAGACTTTTATATCATTTTATTTTATTTTTGTGTTAATTTTTTCTCTTATTATTTTAATTTTTTTTCTTGAATATTTTTTAATTTTTTAAAAAATTTATTATTCAACATTAAAATATATCAAACTTCATGATTTTTTTTTTGATGCAGTAATCTCAGCTTCGTGTGGTTTATATTTAGTTTTCACAC